AAAGGACGGGGATTAAAGGTTACACCACCCTGCCCAGCTCCAGTTTGGGTTTTTGAAGCAAACCCTGTCATAGCCCAGGCTGCTCTCCAATCATAGCCCTCTGCTTCCCCTCTCCACCTCTGGGATTTCAGAAGCCGGCTGCCAGTCTGCCATACCTCCTTCTCTTCTGTTTTGTCTCCTTTTTGTCCCAACCAGAGGCTCTAGCAAGTTTTCCAGTGTAATACCTGTTCCTCTCTGGAGATGGAAGGACCAGAGCAAGGCCCTACCTGGGAGGCTTCATCAGGGTCACTCTTTTGGAATGAGCATCTATTTTAAAGGTGGTCCTGCACCTGACTTGCAGGCCCACTGTGATTCCAAGGCTTGCCTCTTTGTTCTAAAGCTCAGGGCATGGCCTCCTGTCACTCCACCCACGTGTCCCTTCCCTCCCTCAGGACTGTCAACCACAAGTCCACTTAGAACTACCCAAACCGGCAGACCGCTGTCATCAGCCATGAGTAGAGGGCAAGTATATTTCAATCAGGCAAACTGAAAGCAAAGCCATTCTCCACATTCTCCACATGGGCTTATCTATGTCAGAACCCAGATGCTAGCACCACGGCCTCTCTCAGTCCTTTCTTAGAACTCGGATACAAATAGCTGAGTCTGGAGAACTTACGAGAAATGACAATGTGCTGACCTGGTGTTCCGGAGGCTGGGACACTCTGGATTGACCTACCAGCATCTTCCTGGGGATTTTCACTGAGTACTCTGTCAGGTAGATCCCAAGGTCAGTCCCCACCACCACACACACACACCCACTTTACCTGTTTGTTCTGGGAGTCTAACCTGGGGCTTTAGGACACTACAGAACCACAATATATTCTTAGCCCTTGATTTTGAAGAGTGTTCGTTCTACTGTAGGTAAAATGCCACCAAATGGCATGACATACTGATGTGTGTGTGTGTGTGTGTGTGTGTAAGAGTCAGTGGACATGCCAGGCAGTGGTAGTGCACACCTTCAATCCCAGCACTTGGGATGCAGAGGCAGGCGGATTTCTGAGTTCCAGGCGAGCCTGGTCTACAGAGTGAGTTCCAGGACAGCCAGAGCTACACAGAGAAATCCTGTCTCGAAAAACAACAACAACCAAAAAAAAAAGTCAGTGGACATAGGAACCACATAGCTGTTAAGCTATCTGAAGAAGCTGCCACAGCCATTTCAACCTTTAGTCACCCTATCCCCCCATCCCCTTCCATGGGTTAGCAGCTATGAAAACCACACCCCAACAGGCAGGTTACAATGTGCTAAAGGCTGAGGGCCCCTGTATATTTCCAGCAAGTTCTCCTTGTAGCACAAACTGAGTTCGGGCTCTGCCTCCTGCTCCCTCTGCTTCCTGAGTCTGGAGAAAGCGCAGGTGTGTGGCTCCACATCCAGTGGTCCCCAGATATTTTTTTTTCCCCTTGAGACAGAGTCTTGCTCTGTAACCTAGACTGACCTGGACTCACCATGAAGTCTGGGCTGCCTCAGGCTCCTGTGTGCTGCAGTTCAGGTAGGAGCTACCACACCTGTGGTTATCAATAGTTCTTAGCTGTGACACTTTCTTTTACATTGATTTATTACTTATATTCTCTGTGTGCATGTGCACCTGGGCCGTAGCTGCCAGAGTGTGCAAGTCAGAGGTCAGAGGTCTCAGGAGTTGACTCTCATAGAACTCAGGGCTTCAGGTTCAAGCAGGTGGTTTACCTGCTGAGCCATCTTGCTGGCTCCGTAACATACTTTTTCAGACCCTTTTGTGGTTTTGTTTGTTTGCTTGTTTTTCTTTTTTCTTTTTTTTTTTTTCAAGACAGGGTTTCTCTATATAGTCCTGGCTGTCCTGGAACTTACTCTGTAGACCAGGCTGGCCTCGAACTCAGAAATCTGCCTGCCTTTGCCTCCCAAGTGCTGGGATATAAGGCGTGTGCCACCACCACCCAACTCTCTTTATTCCTCTTAAGTTCCATTTATTTATTTGTTTATTTATTTATTTATTTATTTAAGTGGTCTAAAACTTAACTTCAAGGTGTGCCTTACATTTAATAAACATGCTATCACTCATTTTTGCTGCATAGCTTCCTACTTATGGAAATACTCTCTCCCCCCCCCACCAGATGTGTTCTCTCTGTGTAGCCATGGCTGTCCTTGAACTCGCTCCATAGGCTGGTCTAGAACTCACAGAGATCCACCTGCTTCTACCTCCCAGGTGCTAGGATTAAAGGTGTGTGCCACCACCACCCAGCTAGAAATACTGTTTTTATCCCTGTCCCATTGATCAAGTTCTGCCACTGTTTTCAATGTTTGGCTATTTAAAGGTCACTTTGGCTGGGTGGTGGAGATGCATGCTTTTAATCCCAGCTCTCCAGGGATCTCTGAGTTTTGAGGACAGTTTGATCTACAGAGGGAGTTCCAGGGATAGCCAGGGATATGCAGAGAAACCCTATCTCAAAAACAAAAGGAAAGGAAGCAGAAGCATTATTTTGAGCAGACTGATACATGCAGCCTGGGTTTCCAGCTACATCCCAGAATGCACATGCTGGATAATGCTCTCTAGACTTCCCCCCATGATGCTCCTGTGTCTAATGGGTGGGGCTCACTGTGCTTCTGAGGTGCCCAGCAAATCTGCCATCTGAGGGTGTAGGCTTTGATTTTTCAAAACCTACTTTTATAAGCGTTCTTAAATGAGTTAACCTTCCTTCTAGCCTACAACCCACCAGAGGTAGTGGAAAGGAAAGGTTAATAGGGCAAAGGGCTACATGGACCTGTTTAAAATATAGTTCTTTGGGGGCAATTCCCATCTTTTCTGTCAGGATATCAGCAGTTCAGTTCACATGAATCAGTACCAGTAGCTCAATCCACTCACAAACACTATTCAGGAATCAGTAACAGCAGTTTGGTCCAATAGAAACCACAAGGCTCTGCCAATAGGTCTGAGTTCCTTGTTGCATTTCTCTCTACAAAGTCACAACAAGCAATGATCAGAGAAGAAGGCAAGGTGAACCAGTGCCACAGCATCATCAGCAAAGACCAGCATCAGCAAAGCTCAAGGAAGACCCGTAAACGGTGGCAAGGCAAACCAATGCCACACTGTTGTCTACTGTCTGTTGGGCTATACTTACACCCTTTTCAAACATCACCTGTCTTCTCTAGCATCTGTTCCAGCAAGACATCACACGCCCTTTGTCCAGGCTGTTTCCAGAAAAACACCACGTGTCTGTTCTCAGCAAGACATCCTCCCGTAAGACAGTTTCCAAAAACACATCACATGGCACAACTGAGTCTCCAAAGAAACCAGAAATTTCCACTTCATGAGGGTATTTATTCTGTTCACCTTCCCGCATGTCCATTGGTTTTAGAAGATTCTGGAAGGATGTAGGGATTTTGTTTGTTTGTTTGTTTGTTTTTCAAGACAGGGTTTCTCTGTATAGCCCTGGCTGTCCTGGAACTCACTCTGTAGACCAGGCTCTGCCTCCCAAGTGCTGGGATTAAAGGCGTGTGCCACCACCGCCCGGCTGGATGTAGGGATCTTAAGGAGAAAGCAGAAAAGAGGACACTGAACTCAAAGATGCCTTGGGAGGAAGGGAGAGAGAATGCAACAGATTTGAACACAGCCAGCTAGTCTGCATCATTTACATGTGGTGGTCAGCTATGACAAAGCAAAACAAACAAAAAACACCTTGTAGCTCACAGTGAGCCTGGACAACAGAAACTCCTCACTAACACTGTCTTCATGAGGATGCCCCCCCCTTCCCTCTTTGGGCTTGCACCCTACAGGGAGGAGCAGAGTGTGGGAGGAGGGGACAAGCAGCTTTCCGGAATAACTAGTGTTTAGTGAAACGGCAGACCTTCAGGTGGGCAGGAAGCAAGAGTTGGCAGGAATTCTAGAGGCTCTAACCCCTCAGTACAGTGCTTTCCTTTCAACTAGGGAATTCCCTACTCCAGGGAGGAGAGTGAGGTCCGCCTGTGGAAGGCCTGACCTGTGGAGGGCACTCTTCTCATATGTTGGATAGACTGAGTGGGTGGGACTTTAACATTTTACAACTGTCCTTCTGAAGTTGTGACGATGTCTGACAAGTCTTTTAGAATTTGAAAGTTGGGTTGAGCTCTGCTTTGTTTGCTGTAGGTTTTTGAGACAGACCTTCTCTCTGTAGCCCAGACTGTCCTGGAACAGGTTCTGTAGACTAGGCTAGCCTCAGCCTCCACTGTTTCTCTAGTAAAGCAGACACTGGTCAAGAAAGACAAAGACAAAACAACTGGACTGTCAATGAAGACCTACTATGCAGACTGAATGCCTGGTGCTTTCCTGCTTTCAACTAGAGTACTCCCAGATCTGCAGCCTGGCATGTGTATGTGTGCGCAGAGTGAGGAGGAAAGGGGGTTTAGCGACCTGATCATGTGATCATATTTGCAAGAGCTGGTAGCTGCTTGGAACCTCTCTCCCTTCACAAGTACAGAGAGACCAAGCCTCAGGCCTTTGTTGTGGTCCTTGGAGATCTCTAGCTCCTTAACTGGCTCTGCCCTGACTCCCCCAACCAAGCAAGATACCCAAGGCATTGACTGGCACAATAGTGACTCTGCATTCTATGACCCAAGACTACAATGAGCTCCAGGAGGTCAAATACTTGAGTGTGGCAATTGGGGAACCCAAGGGACCTTGCTGTCTCCACTCTGGAACAGACACAAAATGTGCTTATTGGTGTTGGCCACCTGAGCCTGTCCTGTGCTGGCCTGAATGCAAGGTTTCTCATTCCTCCTTCCTACTGGCCAACATGGCATTGACAGGTGCCAGGACTTCTTCATGGTCAGGGGATGGCTGAAGTGGCATTCCATCCCTGACACATCTCACCTCTGGCATAGTGAGAGGCTGGCCCTCTACTGTCAAACCACTGTTTGCCCACTTACAGGCCCACTCAGGCACCACCCCTCCAGCTGCTGAAGACAAACAGGTACTACTGACATTGTGTAACAACTGGTTTTATTTTATTTATTTACAAAGGCGGGTTCAGGAAGGTAAGTGCTCTGCATTTTTATGGCAGCCAGACACAGGATGAGGCACCCTAATCCCAGATTTGGGGAAGCTGAGGCTAAGATGGTGGACTGAATTCTAGGCAAGACCCTGTCTCAAAAATCTACGGGGGGGAAAGTGCCAGGAGGCCTAGTGGGTTAGAGGCCTCTATACTATAAGGTACAGTTGCAGAACTGACAAACCAAGTTAGTTCTGAGATTAGAAGTGGGGTTCCAGTTAGAGCACAGAAAACAATACTGGCCGAAGGCACTGAATGAGCCAACTGTGGGACAGTGGAGGGGAGTCCAGTTCAGTCCAGTCAGGGTTCAGCTGCCACCATCAGCATCAACATTTTTCCTGCCAACAGGCATAGCAGGATGGAGATGTAGCCTGGACTCACTGCACTGCTCTGGCCGGCATGGGGTGCCAGCCCGCAGTCGGTGTAGGGCTCCAGGCAGGCTGCGAAGGCCATGACATGCGCGATGTAGTTCTGTTCCTGCACACCGTGCACCAGATGCGCCTGTGGGCCACGCGCGAATATGGCCACGTCCTCTCCACTGTGGGTCTCTGACGACAGGGGTACAGCCGCCTGTTGCAGGTAGGTGGGGTTGCCTGCCAAGAACGGGTGTTCAGAGAAGGTCCTCCACCTCCATAATAAACACTCTCATGTTGACAACCCCACACTGAACTTACTGCTCTCTTCTTCTGTGACATCAGCCCGGGCGCCATTATGGAGCTTGTAGCCGGGACCGTTGCCATATAGTATCGCGGTAAAGGATTTGCCATCGTCAGCCTTAAAGGGAGCCAACCCTGCAGGGAGAGGGAATGACCTGTTTTTCAAAGTGAGCTGCTGCTGAATCATCTCGTCACCAGATCCCCAAAGGCAACAGTATCTGCCACTGCCTGCTCAACACCTACCGAAGATGGAGGCCCCTCTCTGTGTGTAACCACCAAACGAGAAGACGTGAGAGTGGTCAGCAGTGACGAGGATCATCGTGTCCTTCTCACTGGTGAGCTTGTCTGCCTTGTCAACGGCTGAGTCGAACATGACAGCCTCAGTCAGTGCACGGTAGGCTACAGTTTCATGGTGGCCATGGTCGATGCGGCCCCCTGCAGGAAACCAGGGATGGGGAGACGTTTGAGCCTGTGCTGGACCCCTGTCTCCTCCTCTGTGCCAGGCTGGACCACTCACCTTCCACAAAGAGATAGAAGCCTTTGGGGTTCCTACTGAGCATGCGCACAGCCACCTCTGTCATCTCGGCCAGGGAAGGGTCCATAGTAGGGTCTCGGTAGATGTCATATTTCATGTCGTTAGGTTCAAAGAGGCCTGAGGGACACAAACACACAGATCTCAGGCTGTGTAGCTGGATCATGACACACAGATATTCAGTGAAGTCCTTCTAAAAATGACATGGTAGGAAATGGACCATTACCCATGAGGTGAGTCACTGCTTTGTCCCGGGATGCCTGAAAGAGTTCCGTGCTGTTCCAAACATACCGGGCCCCCTGCAGGGACACAGCCAGTCCACTAAGTACATACCTTGAAATGCACAGCCCTAATTCCTGCTCTGTCTTTTGCCCTAGTGCTCCCCCACCCCCACCCCCAGTACCTGGTGCTTTGCCAGCCACTCTTGAACTAGGTCACGTCCATCCAGCCTGGTTCCAGCCTGCTCAGTGTCAGTAGGATATTCCTGGTCTGGTGTCCCCTTGGGAAACATGAACTTGCGGCCACCACCGAGGATCACCTGTGATCAGAGGTGAGCTTGAGACCTGACTGATCTTCTGTTCCCTCCTGACAGCATCTGGTCCCAGCAGGTCTGAGGGTAGGACTCTCTTTGGACTGCACCTTCTCTACCCACCCCCAACCCACCACTCAGATACCCTGGAGGGTGCCTATCTCAGACTGTAGGCTGCATTGACTTCAGTGAGTGACCCCTCAATGCAGCCCTCTCCCTCACTCTTGGGGCTCACATCAATGTCCGTGTTGGAGATGAGCTGTATAGCGATGTCCTTGCAGCCGTCCCGCAGTGCTGACGCGGGCATTTGTGCATCCGAGTACCAATTACGGTTCACGGTGTGTGCGTAGGTGCTGGCTGGAGAGGCGTGCTGCACCGACGTGGTTGTCACCACTCCCACAGACTTTCCTGCAGAAAGTCACGTGAGCCACCCAGGCCCCCCCCAGGTCTGTCCAGGTCCTTCGACCCTGTCCCAACCTACCTGCTTTCTTAGCACGGTGCATTACGGAGACGACCTCATTGCCCCACGTTGTATTGCACTGGTTAAATCGAGCAGCCGCACTCAAGCCGATGACCTTCATATTGGTTTTGACCCCACAGAGAAAGGCAGTGCCTGTGCCTGCGCTGTCCGGGACCTGCTTGTCTGTGTTGTATGTCTGGGGAGAGACACTCTCAGCTCAATCTGCTGGTAGACATTAGTCCTTGTCTTTTCCTGGGATTCTGGATTCTTCCCCAGTACCTTCCAGCTACACCAGCTCTTGCCACCCGCTGTGAAGACTCAGGAGGTTCTAAGCTCACCTTGGACAGAGCCATGTGTGGGAATCGGTCCATGGCTAGTTGTGTCTCGGGTCCCAGATGGCCTTGCTGCTGTCCCTTTAGGATCCGGGTAGCAGTTACTGTGGACACCCCCATCCCTGAAGGAGCAGAGCATAATCAGGGGTAATCCCCTAGGCCCACCAGGGGCCTAGTGCCTGGCGTACAAGAGTCCCAGGGTAGCCAGGCCTCACACACTCACCATCTCCCATGAGGATGATGAGGTTCTTGGCTGATGTCTGAATGGGCTGAAGCTTCTTGGCGGCCTCCAGGGCCCCAGCTGCCTTCTGGTTCCAGAAGGCCGGGTTCTCCTCCTCCACTGGTGAAGAAAAGAGCAAAGGCAGGGTCAGACTGAAGACCCACAAGTACAAAACCAGCAGACACCTGAAGAAGCCTCATTACCTGGGATGACGCTCGGGGACACCTGGAGGGCAAGGCCCAGCAGCAGCAAGCAGACTTCCCACATTGCTATGGCAGGGTGCGGGTCTGCAAGGACGGCAGGTGAAGGATCTGCAACACACACTACGACACTAGCGGAGGCCCTGACTAGCTCTTCTTAAATAGGCAAAGACTTAGTTCTTGCCTGAAGGTTCAGAGTCCCTCCCTAATCCTTAGGCGCTACCCTGGCCCCACCCTACCCTGTGAATTGAAGCTTGTCAGGCTGTAAGAAGTTGCCAGAGTATGGAAGTCCAGGCCAACATCCTGAATCTGCAGCTGGGGGTGGGTCCCAGGCATCTCCCACACATTTGGTGGGAGGCTGGAGACTACTGTCTGAGTGAAGACCCACAATCTTAGGCTGCAGTGGTCACCAATCCTCCCATGGACATCCATCTCTCTTTGTTCCAGTGAGACTTGCCTCCAGTTGCCTCTCCCCTGACTCAGGGCAGGTAACCAGGAGGACTGGCCAGGAGGAATATTGCATTGGGAAGACGGGGCTGATGGGTCCTATAGAACCTCATTTACATGACAGGTACTTTTGAGTGTGTTTTGAATGCAGTCAGACTGGAGGCTGTGCAAGATCCTGAGCCAAGTCGGACAAGGCCTGAGTCTTCCTCAGGAACAGGTAGATGGGCTTTCCCCTTGTTTGATGTTGACTTGGATTCTCTTGGGAAGGTGGTAGGATGCCATCATGAGTGTTCCGCACAGACCCTGAACACTTCTGTGGGTGTTGCCTAGGATAAGAAACCATAAGGTTCTTAGAGTCTGGAGGTAGGCTATGCTCACAGTGTCCAAAAGGTATGGGGTCAAACCATGTGACCACTGATGGATAAGTGGGTGAGAGAAATGTGATCCAGATAGGTGTGATAATCCAAGCCTGTAAGCCAGGTTTTTTGAGTCATGGCAGGAAGATTTAGGGTTAGCATGTGCTACAAAGAAACTATATTGATTCAACAGCAACCAAATAGCTGGACACACCTTTAATCATAGCACCCCAGGGGCAGAGGCAGGTAGATCCCCAGGAGTTCAAGGACAGTCTGGTCTACACAGTGAGTTCCCGCTACACAAACCTACACAGAAAAACCCTGTCTTAAACCCCACCCCTCAAAACGAACAATAACAATAAAAACAAAACAGCAACAAAAACCTAATCCATCAAGCCAGACTTGGTGGCACATTCCTTTAATTCCATCCCTTAGGAGGAAAGGGTGGGTGGATCTGTGTGACTTCAAGGCCAGCCTGATCTACAAAGTGATTCCCAGGGCAGGTGGGGCAACTGGGAGGCTTTATCTCAAATAAATAAATAAAGAGATAAGTGGGCTCACATGTGGCACACATGAATTACAGATCTGGTCCCGGAAACCAATGTGTGTGTGTGTGTGTGTGTGTGTGTGTGTGTGTGTGTGTGTGTGTTTGTGTGTGTGCAGGGTCACATTTGTAATCCCAGCACTTGAGATACGGGTGCATACCTGGCATGACTACATATGCCTTTAATCCCAGCACTCAAGAGACAGAGGCAGAGGGTCAGCTAAGGCTACACAGACAAACCCTGCTTCTAAAGAAACAAGAGGAGGAAGAGGGAGGGAGAGGCAGGAGAATTAGTAATTCAAAGTCTTTTTTTTTTTTTTAGAGAATCATAAGACCATGTCAAAATATAAACAAAAACTCAGAAAAGGAGAAGGAGGTATGGCAGACTGGCAGCCGGCTTCTGAAATCCCAGAGGTGGAGAGGGGAAGCAGAGGGCTATGATTGGAGGGCAGCCTGGGCTATGTCAGGGTTTGCTTCAAAAACCCAAACTGGAGCTGGGCAGGGTGGTGTAACCTTTAATCCCCGTCCTCTAAACCCAACACCTCAATCCCACACTGGGGAAGTAGAGGCAGAGGCA